CCCCATTTCTCTGTTCTGATTTAGTTTTCCATATATTTTTACTTATTTAAAATATGAATAGCCTACACTGAATAAGAGAAACACTAGAAAAAGCAAACTGTACACTTTAATCGTGTTTAAGGCGAAATTTACCTTCTGTAGGACTAAGTGACAGGGAGTCACTAAGGATCACGTGGTGCTCCTGAGCAGACAGAACCCTGCAAGGTGTGAAGGAAGCCGAGCCCCTGGGGGTGTGTGTGGATCACTCACGGTTTCCGATTTTACGGTGAAGCTCATACCTGAATAAAATTGGACGCCGTGCTCCGCAGGCGGGCAGAAGTGTCTCCGGTTCTCGCGAGCAGTAGGGGAACGGTTCTCTCCACGCAGTGAGCGGTTTCGAGCTTACTCAGCTTGTGTTTGGGGATATACTGCGTGATGATCATCTTCAACAACTTCAGAGACGCCTGGAAGACCTAAGGGAAAAGCGATAAAAAACAGGTGAGCCGGGACCGCTGACTCCCACCCGAAGTCCGCAGGGGATTCGCCAGTAGTGATAAGCAGGGGCATCATACTGAACATAACACGCGGTCTGGAAACGGCAAACTCAGCTGCCGTCCGAGCCCGCTTCCTGCAGGGGAGACGCACGCTCCCCTCTCCCGTGTCGTGAGGTCCCCGGAGGCCCCGTGTCTGACATTTCTGCGCACGTGGCTGAGCCCCGTGTGAATGCAGGCCACCCTGTAATGTGAGGTGCTGACTCAGGGCTCTTTCGGGGTCAGGAACACTTAGCAGTGCCTCCCCAGCTCCCCACACTTTACGAAACTCAAACACAAACGGGACGTTTATCAGCCCCGGGGAACCAGGCCTGTGCACCCGTGGGTTCTGAAGAGTGGAGTCATGCCCAGAGGGACAGACCCCAGACCCCTCACTGACTGCACTTCCTGCGGGAGACCCTTGTGCCCAGTGACTCCGCCGTGCCAGGGACAACGGCGCTGGGGGCCAGGCTCCCTCTGGGGCTGCCCTGCCCTCCTGGGCAGGCGCTGGGGTCCCTGAGGGCGGGCGGGGCACTCACTGGAGTCACTATGTCTCGGATGGCCCTTCTGATGAGGAAGATGGACGCCCGCAGTGTGTTCTTTAAGTCCTCCCTTGGGGTTCCGACCGGCGTCTCCGACAGCTGTTCATACAAGGCCAGCAGCGCGCCTTCCCGGTGTGACCACGACCTGGAGTAGGCGCCGGCCACCTGCGGGGTAGGGGCCGCTGCTTCAGGCGGGCGCCAGGGCCACGTCCCCCTAGCTGGCACCTGCAACCCCGGCCTTGCTTTGTTTCAACCGAAGACGTAGCTTTTCTCTGCCAACTAAGTAGGTGTATTTAGAGAAATACCCTTCCTAATGCGGAGAACTTAAGACCGTGTCAGAACACGGAATGTGTGAAAGGCTCCAGCACGAGCGACCTTTGGAGGCAGGTGACGCCCTCGTGTCCAGTCCTGCTCTGCGATCGTGCCCCGGGGCTGGCGGTGCCCACACGCGAGCTGGCATCCAGCAGCACAGACACCCGCCTGAAGCGAATGCGCATCAGGATCCCTTCAGTCTGGCTTACGCACGTGCTGCCTTGCGTGACCCCCGAACAGCAAGGATGCAGGGCAGGGGGACCCCAGGGACAGAGGGCCCGCCCACCCGCCCGCCTCCCCCTGGCTGGCCTGTGGTTGGTGGCGCCTGTGCACGTGGCTTCCCCTTTACCAGGGCCTCGCCCAGCACGTCCACGGCAGAGCTGGCCTCTCTCAACGCCTTCTCCGTCAAGGGCTCCGGCTCGCCTGCGGCGCCCACTCTGGGGGCCTCACTGCCGTCCCTGTCACTCCGTTCCAGCTCCACGGCCGCCACCCCGGGCTGCTGGTGGATCGCGGGCAGAGGCCGCTCGTCGTAGGGCAGGGACTCGGGCTGCAGGAGGACAGGGTGGCTGCAGGGCTCAGCGCCGTCCTCCCCACCTGCCGATCCGGGTCTGCACCCGCGGGCTTGCCGCTCTGGACTCACCTGGTCAGAACCAGGGTGTTTTACTAAGCATCAGCCTCATCTGATCAGGACAACTTACACAACAGAGTGACTTTGAAAAAAGTTACATTAGGGTCACTGTTCCTTCCTAAGCTCAGTATAGACCCAATAGAAGGGCAGCATTGGGGTGGAGCTCAGGGGATAGAGGGTGTGCTTAGCATGCACGAGGTCCTGGGTTCAATCCCCAGTCCTGTCTCTAAATAAACAAATACATGAGGAAAACTAATTACCCTCTCTGTCCCCCCAAATAAAATAAAATAATTTAAAAAAGAAAGAAAATAAGGCAATGTCGACTCGGCCTCGTTACTGTTTATGGGCGCAGGGAGGGCCCCTGCGAGCCGGCTCCCTGGCCTCTGGCCACAGCTCACGCTCACCCTCATCCACCCGCGTCCTTCCTTCCTCCCCAGCGCCCACCGGCCACACGGCCAAGCACACAGACGCTCCGGGAGGCCCTAACGAGCCATCGGCACCGCTGCCTCCTCTGGTTCTCGCCCTCCTGGGGCGGGCGCGGGACTGAGGCTGCACTCATCAGGGAGGACTTGGGGATTCTGCCCACAGTGGGATGCATGCTCCTCTTGGATGGCACAGCGCAGCCCTGAGGCTGGGGGCCACGTGATGGGTCCCCCTAGGGTGCCCGGAACCACAGGAAACAGTCGCCGGACAGGAAGAAGCCAGGCTTTGCTGACACTGCCGAGCTACTGAATCAAACCGACCTGAAACCCGACAATCTCTTAAATTCCTGGTTATAAAGGCCAGCAGCCCCCCGGTTCGAGCCCGGCCTTCTACTACCTACAACACAGGGAGTTCTAGCAGGTGCGGTGACCACACGGCGTGTGCCGAGGCTCTGCTGAGGTCACCTCAAGTCGGGTACCTGACAGACACTCCCCTCAGTCCGGGGAACGACCCCGAGTGGGTGGCTGCAAGCTCACAGACAGAAAGCAGGGGCCCGGGTGGGGAGTGCCTCAGCCCCGCCAGGCGAGGGGCAGGACTGGGCGGGGGCTGACTGCCTATGTCCCCACGTCCCAGCCACGGCGCTCTGCCCCTCCCCTGGAACACAGGCAGGAAAGGGTGTCTCACTCGTGCCCCCCTACACGCCGCCCGCACCAGGAAGCCCCGCATACACAGTCCTCACGCCACACCTGCTGATCAACTGTACTGGCGCGACACCGAGTTACCAACCTGGGTCTTGGGAGGAGGGTCTGTGGTGGGCGGCGGCTGGTCCACCGCAGGGCACTGAGGAGAAGTGTCTGGGGCAGGGGCCGAAGGCTTCTCCTGCAGGAAGGGGTCTGCAAGGTGGCTTCCTGCCCCTCGTTGTCCTGGTGGTGGCAGTGAGGGCACCAGCTGCTGGTGGTGGGGGCTGACGGAGCGGAGGAGGGGCTGCAGGGGCAGGTCAAGAGGCCTTCGCATCTGGGGGAAAACGGGACACTTACTCCCCATGTCACTGCCATGCCAGGCCCAGCCCTCTTGCTCCTGGGGTGGGGGGGAGCGGTTTCAGAAGGCAGAGGGCTGCAACCACACTGACAACGTCCTCCAGCCCTTGGACCGTCTCCGGGTGGTTCCCATGTGGACCCGCCAGCGACACGCACGCCAAATGCCAGTGTGACCCTGAGCACATGTGCACGGGCGCTGCCGTGTGGGGCAGATGGGCTGGGGTAGCCGCGGGCAGGGCTGGCAGCACCCACGCAGGACCAAGCAGTGGTGCTGGTGGCCCCTGGTCGCCCTGAGGAGCGCAAGGACTGGGCGGGTGTTACCTGCTGCTTTGGGCAGACGACGTGGTCACGACCCCCTCCTCACCCCGTGGACAGGGCGGGGAAGCCTGGCACAGAGCGGCCAAGGATGGAGGCCAAGCCAGCAGAGCTGGACCCGAAGGGTGGGCACCAGGCCCAGCAGGGAGCCCCCAAGTCTGCACCCCCAGCACCATCCTCCAAGCGCTGGCGCTGGGCCTCAGTGTCCTGGCCTGTGACGTGGGCTCTGGAGACGAGGGCAGAGGCCCCTGCCCCACCCCTCCCTAGTCAGCCTGAGCCGTCAGGGTGATGCTCGGCTGACGCCCCAAGGGGTGCGAGGGGCAGGGCCGCCACCAGTTCACCGACAGGGGCCTGGGGAGATGGAGGGACCCAGCGGGGAGCCTCCCACCACCTCCTCTGCCGTCAGGGGCCGCAGCCACCTGTCGCCTGCGGGCCTGCCCACCCACCAGCTCGGCGTCCAGCAGGTCATGCAGCCGCAGCTGCTCGTACACGCGGCTGCGGTAGCGCTCCATTTGCTGCTTCTTCTCCTTGGCCAGGTCGTAGTCCTCCTTCTCCACCGCGCAGCGCTTCTCCACCTCGAACCTGCCCAGCCGCTCCCCGACCTGGGCACACGCGTCGGCTTTGCAGTAATGCTGGAGGACAGTGTGGGCGGCCGTCCCCACGTCCCGGGGGATGGGGAGTGATGGGCCTTTCGGGCCCAGGACGACTCTGGAGGAGCGCACCGTCCCAGGCGCTTTCATCCATCTGGGGCCGGGTGGTGCTCGCCGCCCTGAACCCCCACTGACCCCCGCAGCCTCCGAGGCCTGCTCACTGGTCTGAACAGCTACCAGGGTGACGGAACACGTACCTTCTGCAAATCGGCAACGGCTTGCTTCAGCTTCTTAGCGTAGTCGTAACGCTCCTTCCGCACGGCTTCGCGCTTCCTTTCATCTAGTTTGCGTATAATCTGCGCCACTTCCGGGTCCTGGTACATGTCAAAAGCTAAGTCGTCTAGCGGGGAGATATAGTCAGATTTCCTAGAGGAAAGAAAAGAGTATTTCAGGGCCGGCGTCAGCCCACGTGATGCTGCAGAAGAGGGGCCTGTGGGCTCAGGGCTGAAGACACCAGGGTGGTCTGGAAAGTGCCCCCCGCCTCCAAAACTGGAATGTTTCCTGCTGAGAAAGTGGGGGCTCAGAGGAGCCCGTGATAGGCCTCAGGTCGCAAAGCAGCAAGCCCAGCGGGTCTTTCTGAGGCCGCAGCTCACGCGCTTGACCATGAATTAGCTGCCCTCGGGGCATCTGACCTTCAGCGCGTCCACTCACTCGTTTTCACTCACTCGTTCGACAGGCACTCCGAGTGCAGACCATGTCGGGCTCTGCTGTGGGCGCAGGGACAGGGCAGTGCGCGTGGATCATTGGTAGACGTGGGGAAACCAGAGCCAGCCGCGACCAGGCCCGTCCCCTGGCAGAGGCAGACTCGGTGGCCCAGGCAGGCACTTCCTGCCGCAGTAACGGTGACGGACATGAAAGATGGAGAACTGCTACCCCGGGCTTGAGCCTCAAAGCGTCAGACTGTGAGACGCGGCTGCCCAGCCCTGCAGTCAGGAAGATCCCTCCCGGAGTAAGTGACCCAAGTCACCTGAATGCCCTGATAGGTGCCCCCCTCCCCGCCTCCAGCCCTCCAGCCAGCCAGCCAGCAGCTCTCCTCCGGGCCTGACGTTCTCTAACTACCCAACAGAAACGCTGGCGGATGCCTTTCACAGCCTCCCGATCTGCTGGGTCAGCGGCAGAAAGGAGGCTGCTGGTGGCTCTGAGCTGGACGCCCTGCACACAGGTGAACTTATTAGACAGAGCATCTGTCGTAGAAATTTGGTGGGTTAATAGTAAATTCAAACAGGACAGGGGACCAGGCCGTCTTTCAAAAGCACCAAGTCCCCCTCCTGACTCCCTGGCCTCAGGCAGTTTGCAGGAGGAGCCGCGGGCAGGGAGGCCGGGGCGGCTTCGAACCCCCTCATCTCAGTGGCGAGTGAAGAGCCCAGGGCCCACGTGTTGACGAGATCCGTGGGGCTACTGTGCCCAAGTGCGCACTGACCCCTCAAGTCTAACTCACGTCGCCTTGAAAATCTAGAGGTGAAACCAAGCCGTCGCTGCAGCACAGAGGTCCATGAGGGACACAGCGGGGTCGGAATTCCGGGCATCTCAGGGCCCCAAGGAGCCCCAGGTGCCTGAGATGGGTTGCGCCTCTGGCACTGCACACAACCTTTCAGGACCTCACTTCACCTTCCAGAAGAATGGGGGGGACGCGGCAGGACTGCAGTCCACCGGCCCACTTGGCCAACGCGATGCAAAACTGACTTAAAGAGAAACGAGACCCCCCAGAGAGCTCACATCGGGGGCCCCAAGACCGGCCAGCCAGCGCCCTCCCAGCTCCTCAGCCTTGTGGGTCACCGAGGGTGGAGCCCTGGAGCGGCCCCACGATGACACCTGCGGGGAGTGGCTCGAGCACCTGATCCTTAGCGCTGCACTCCCCCACCCCAGCATCCCTCGTCCCCACCTTGAAAGGCAAGGACCCCATCAGGCCGAGGACCTGGGTCGAGACTGAGGAGGAGCTCGTGCAGGTGTGGCAGGTCACTCTTGTCACGACCTCTCACACACCACTGCCCAGCATGCCACCCTCACCGCCACCATGGTGGCCCCTGCCTCAGGCTCAAGGGCCCCATGGAGCCCAGGCTGCAGGGGATGGGGCCCTGCAGCGAGCAGGCTCACTGGCCGCTGGGTGCATGCCTGGCAGAGCCACCGGCGCCCGGGCCATCACCGACTCCGTGTATGATGCAGAGAAGCCGGCTTAGCGGCCGCGCCAGTACCCGACCCCGTGTGAGAGATGGCGCACAAGTCACGGCGGACACCACACGGCCGCGGGAGCCCAGCGGCGTCTTGTCTTTTCTCTGCTGGGGAGCTGCTGACAGGGACACACTGGGTATCGTTCTGAATTCCCTTCTTTAGGCCGGGCACCCGGGGAGTGGCCCCTTGCTCCAGTGGACAGTGGGCACGTGGCAAGAGTGCTGGAGGCCTCTGCCCCAGGGGCGCCGGGATCAGGGGGTGGACAGGACCCTGCCACCAGGCCCTTCAGCCTCGCTCTCCACACCTGACCCGCTAAAGAGAAGCAGCAAGACGGAGAGGTCGAGAGGGCGGTCACTGAGGGCGTGTCCGGAGGGGACCTGTAGAGACCCATGTGGCGTGCGTCCGCATCCTGAGGAAAGTTCCAAAGCAGACAAGATGGCGCCTCCGGTAACTGGCCACCTGGCCAAGTGATACCTTCCAGTCTCACCCATGAACCTGCCTGTGCCTCTGAGGTGCCAGCCAGTGGCGACAGGCCCTTCATCTGAGCACATCTTAGAACCTCTCTAGTAACACCTGAACACACGAGAAATGCAGTCATCTCTGAAGGGCGGGCGTGGAGGGTGCGCTAAATAAAACAGGGGACTTCACCTGCGGTGGGTTCAGGACAACCCTGTCAGTGGCTCCTCCAGCTCCGGACTCAATTCCGAGGCCCCCAAGTCCAGGGTCCTTTGGAGATGACTCACACTTTCATGATTCCGGGAAAGTCACGCAAGTTTCCCGCCCTGCAGGGGATGCTTACGCGGTGCAAGTTCCTTCGAGAGCTGGGTCCTCCGTGCTGTGTCCCAGGTAGTGGTCAATCAGCTTCTCCCTGGAGGCCTTGGGGAGAGGAAGTCCCGCTTACTGTCTCAGAGGAAAAGGAGTGACACAAACCCTGACCTGGAGACGACGCGGTAAGAAACATCAGCGAGCTTCGACGACCCCGGTCCTCTGGAGGGACACTAAAATTCTCAAGGACGTTTGATATACAGCAGCTGCAAGAATGCCCTGCTAGGTATTCACCAGACGCTCTGATAAAGATTTTTAGGATGACACTTTTTGTGACAAAAATAAATGCTCCCCTCCCATCCTTCCGTGTTAGAGACAAATGATCCTCTTTAGGAACGAACGTCCCAAACTTACAACATCGCTTTCGTCGCCGACATCTGCAGGGTCTCCAATGATGTTTATTGCAACCAAAGCAACCTGAGAGAGAGTCGATTGATAGAAATTACATGTGAAACGTCTGGTGTGACTTAAACTCTTTGTAACAAACTCTCACTGACTCGCCCTCAAATGGGAGGCGCACGTCACAGGGTGTGAGCTGGAAAACCTCACGCTCACGCAGGACCACTGTTCACCACTCCTGTCAATCACCTAAGTCCGTGCTCTAATGCTGAACCCAGGGTCTGAAGGATGTTAAAACAATAGCTAAAAACCCTCCGACACTTTAGCCCAGACTTGCCTTGAACTCTCCACTCAAGGTTAAGGATGGGGTCATCTCTCTACGATGGTGGTAAATTCGACAACGAAATGAAAACCCACGTTAACACAGCTGGGTTCGTCTAAGTCAGCGGTTCTCCCCGGACGGGGAGGAGTCGCCTTCCCGGACCCCCTTCCTCGAGAATCAAATCACTGCAGCTGAGCTAACAAGCGGGGGTTATGGCGAGCACTCGCACGTGGGAGAGGGAGGAAGAGGCTCGGAATCACCCCAGTTAGCTGCCCACAGCGCTCCACCCGAGCCCCCCTTCCCCACCCGGCTCCGCACAGAGCTCTGCCTGGTGGGCATGCCTGCCGGCCTCTTGGAGGGGCTGGGAGTGTGGTAAATATTTGTGCGAGTTTGCTCGAAAAAGATTGCTTTGGACACCAGTGATTTCCACTCCGTTAATTATGCCAAAAAAAA